CATTTTCTTGTTTCACTTGACTAAACAAAACATTGTGTAGGAATGTAGGCTTTTATAGATTAAACAAAAAGCTGATAAATGTTGAGATGTGTGGAACATGCTCGAGGCGATTTGTAACAGGCACGATATACTCTTCAAAAAAAGTAGGGGATATTAAAATGCAAATACCTATGCAGGTTGTAATATTTGTAGTCATGGACACTAGACATGCTTTGAGAGTATGTTCACATATGAAGAACTTATCGCCCCAACAGAACCACTGAGCGGCACATGCGACACGCAATAGCGCCATACACGAGGCTTCATTGTCAAATTTGACACTTCAAGGAAGGGTTGATGAAAACTGCCACGTGCTGGTTTATCTATCCATGTTTGCTTTCCTATCGGTTCTTGCATAATATTTACTGTTTAGCGTATCTTTGCTTTAGTGTGTTACGTTTAATTTGATCGGGAGATGTGTTCGTCGACGTCAACGGACAACACTGTAAGAATTAGCCGTCGCACTGCAAGAGGAGTGGGCCAGATTGCCCCAAATCGTGACTGGACAGTTCATTAAGAGCATGCCACGACGAATTGCTGAATGCCTGAGGATTGGTGGAGCAATTACTCATTTTTAAGACAAAAATCAAAAACGTTCATTTTCACTTTTGACGGTGTATCTATTTGCGAGTGTAAAGGGGCCGTCAGATAAGCCGGCCATATGAAATGTTTATATTCATGTGTAGGGCATTGGCCTTTTATTAACATACACTGGTTACCTCTAATAAAAACAGCAGTGCATTTCCGCAGTTTTGTTTTGTTTCTGAATATCCCCTACTTTTTATGAAGAGTAGGCCTATATATTTGACACTAGTTGAGCATCAGAAAAACATGATTATTTCACTGGGTATGGGAAGCAAATACCCAAAGGTGTCGGACAAACTCTAAAGCAACTGCGTCTCCTTCACTGGGCACCTTCAATGTATGTCTACCTGTGGAATAACATGTACATTATTTGTATCTGTTAAATTTCTGAGGTTTATATATTCGATTAATATTATTATTTACTCATGGGCGCAGGGGCAGATTGGGGCCGGGAACCGGCTCGGGCTCCCGTGTCGGAGCCGCCCCTTTTACTGACCGCGGAGCCCGGATTGGGGGTCCGGGGGCTCTCCCCCATTAAATTTTGAAAAATGAACCCCAAATATGCGATTTGGTGGCATATCTGATTATAATCTCTGTCAAATGATATATCTCATCAATTGATTAATTTAGGCCAAAACCCCGACCTGCAAGTAATTTACAACCATCAACCTGTGAAATTATCATATCGTCATATTAATTAACGTATTATCATTGTATCGTCAAGACCAGCAACATCAAATTTTGCTGAGGCCTTAAAATTGATTTTTTTTTTGAGTTACGAACCATCGGCAGACGTTTCTGGCGACAGCGTCGGGTGAATCCGATGAAATTTTCGGATGAAATTCGGAATCCCAATCGCAGGATTCCGAATTCCGGCCAACACCCAGCACACCCGGCCCAGAAAGTCTATATACCAGCCCATTCCAGACCCCAGTGATGGCGTGGCGGCCCGTTAAAGTCACCGGCCACATACAACATGATCATCATCGCTCCATGGCCGGTCCAATACCCCCCCCCCCCCCTAATATAATGTTCAGCAGAAAAGGTTTTTATACGCCCACATTTTCATGTGGACGTACATTGTCGTCGCCCCTGTCCGTCCACAATTTGTTTGTGGACACTCTACAGGTCACAATTCTTATCCGATTTTGACGAAACTTGAAATATAGGTTTATCTCCAAAAGATCTCGGTTCCTTTCGATATTGGCATGTATTGGATCGAAACTTCATGGATTATGGCCCCTGTTTGTACGAAAAATCACGTTTTTAGCTTGTGGACACTATAGAGGTCACAATTTTTATCCGATTTTGTTGAAACTTGAAATGTAAGTTTATAACCCAAAGATCTGGGTTCTTTTCGATATTCGCGCATATCGAACCGTAATTTTCTGAATTATGGCCCCTGATTGTACGAAAAATCGCGTTTTTAGCTTGTGAACCCTATAGAGGTCATAATTTTTATCCGATTGAAAAAAACGTATTATTATATCACCGTTACACCCCTAGGACGACTGAGTCCGAATTTCGTGAAAATCGGACCAAAAATGACAGACAAAATGGCCGCCCTTCGTTCTCAAATAGCGTAAAAATATGGTATATCAAGGTTGTGGACCCTATAGAGGTCACAATTTTTATCCGATTTTGTTGAAACTTGAAATGTAAGTTTATAACACAAAGATCTCAGTTCCTCTCGACATTCGCGCATAGCGTAAAAACATGGTATATCAAGGTCACAATTTTTATCTGATTTTGTTGAAACTTGAAATTTAAGTTTATAACCCAAAGATTTCGGTTCCTTTCGATATTTGCGCATATCGAATTGTAATTTCCTAAATTATGGCCCTTGATTGTAGGAAAAATCACTTTCTTTTTAGCTTGTTCTCTATCCATCTCTCGAAAATGTAGGCGTATTCTGCCTGGCAGCCGCTGGTTTTAGACGAATTGGACAAAACTTATTTTTTTCAGTTTTTGTCCGGCCGGCCCTTCGCCCGATCCGCCCCTGCATGGGCGGGGAGAGATAACGTCTTACCCCAAACAAATTGCAAAAGACACCAGGAAGTTTCGTAGAGCGAAATCTCGTCTCACATGTCACTGATGAAACATGCCCGAAACACATATTACGCTTGACACCTTTTATTTAAAGGAGCTAAAACGCTAATATTTGGGACTTACAAATTGACACAAATGGGTCGGAAATAATGTAATATGAATGTAAATAAACTGATTCGGTATTTCGCCGAACATAACTGCTTTGAAATTAGAGTAAAAACTGAAACGATTGAACGTAAATCAGTTTATATACATTCATATTACATTATTATAGGCTTTGCGACCCATTTATGTCAATTTCTAGGTCCCAAATATTAGCGATTTAGCGCCTTTAAATTACACTGATTTTAAGCTACACTGATTTTAAATGTTATATCTAGTCAATTTAAAGAAAATTCTATTTTCGAAAAATTGATGATACAATTAATGATTGATGACCCAATCCGGAATGGCTCCAGACCAAAAAATAATGGAATTTCAGGCATTTATTTTGCCGGCTAGAAGACAAAAAGGTTTTATCTCCCAAATTACTATAGAATTTTAATTTTTCAATTTACCCGTCTGCACAAAAAATCTGATTTTTAAAAGCGTATGCAAGTTAAATATATTTAATAGCGCTTTTATCTGGTGTATCTCATTTCATTTTCTTATGAATTGGACTATATTATTATAACAATAATGCGCGCTTTTTGTTGTATAATAATAATAGTTTGTTCAGCTATACTTTTCGTTTAAAAAATGTATATTTTGTCTCTTTTTCGCGGAATTCAATGAGATATCCATCTACATCCCTGTCATTGGCAGCCAACTTAAACACAACAGTATGATAGGACATAAAATAGAAAGTGAGTAGGTACAAATACTTGGGACCCAAGATGGCGTCTTTGTGCACTTGACGTCATATATTCATGACGTGATATGAAATTTCTGGCTTCACAGTTGTCGCAACTTTATCTATAACGGCTTTGACCGGACTAAGCGATAATCTCGTAAGATATGACTTTTACTATGTCTTTTAAATGGTTTTCGACGTCTCTTCAAGGTCACCGTCTTGCGCCGAAGTCGTGAAACGCACCGTCGGGGGATTTGTTGGGGCCTGTCTCCCCCAGAAAATTTCTAGAAATTTCAAGTTGGTCTTGCCAGGCCGTGAATACGGCAACCTGAAAGTGGTCGATTTTAATGTAGACATCTGAACTCCAATCAACAAATCAATCAACCAGGCTGTTGTCGTTGCATTCACATGACACCAGACGTGTCACCGATGAAACAAATATACCTGAAACAAATGTCGCTGTTAGTACGCCCCATTTGTGACAATTTCTAGGTCCCAAATATTAGCGATTTAGCTCCTTTAAAAGCGAATGCAAGTTAAATATGTTTAATAGTACTTTTATCTAGTGTATCTTTTATTTTGATTTTTCTTATAGAATAAGGCTATATAACAATAATGTGCGCTTCTTGTTGTATAATACTAATAATAGTATGTTCAGCTATACTTTTCGTTTAAAAAATGTATGTTTTATGTCCTATAGACACTTATTGCTGAAATCTATGACATCCAACAATATAATAGGGCATATAAATAGATAATAAGTTTGCATGACGTCATATGAAATTCCTGGTTTCACAGTTGTCGCAACTTTATCTATACACGGCGTTGCGTCGACCAACCATGCAATGTGAAGTAGATGTCAATATGGTTATGTGTAAGAAAATCCAGTTCAATATATTCACGGTGTATAATTTTATTCATACTTCAATTTTAGTAAGTTAATTCTGCAACGTTTTTAGAAAAAATTGCTATTAATTTGGCCAGGACTGTACGTTTAATTTGATCGGGAGACGTGTTTGTCGACGTCATCGTCAACGTCAACCGATAACACTGCAATAATTAGCCGTGGCACTGCAAGAGGAGTGGGTCAGATTGCCCCCAATCTTGATTGGACGGTTGATTAGGGGCATGCCCCGACGAATTGCTGAATGTCTGTGGATTGGTGGAGCAATTACTCATTATTAAGACAAAAATCAAAAACGGGGCTGTCAGATAAGCCGCTAATATGAACTGTTTATGTTTATGTGTAGGCAAATGGCCTGTTATTACCATACACTGGTTACCTCTAATAAAAACAGCAGTGCATTTCCGCAGTTTTGTATTGTTTCTGAATATCCTCTACTTTTTTTGAAGAGTATAATTGGCGGTCAACTACCCGCTCTTGTTGACCACCAAAATTCAAAATCTAATACCAAGAAGGGTGTTTTACTTTAGAAAAAATTTACTTTAAAAAAATCTATTAACTGCAATCACAGAAAAGTTGATAAACGTCTGTTGTTCTTTCGTGACAAATGGCAAAAATCACAAATGTTCTGCACTTTGGAGAAGGGTTTGTTTCTTAGTAGCCATTTTAAAACAGATTAAACTAATCTAGATTGTCTGGAACATTCTGCATCCACTCCAGCTTTCTGAAAGAAACAATTTAAAATCTATGCACACGAACAATGTAATATATGCGCGGAGTTAATTATTAAATATACTTTTGGAAATATGACAAAGTTTCCAATAACTTGTATCATATTAAGACTATAATTTATACATGTAAAATATTTATTTAGATACATCGAACCAATTTGAACCCCACATCGGCGAACCCTTTGGACCTCACGTTATTGAACTACGATATAAACTATACTGTCCACTGCCTATATCCACGTGCATTACATATGGTACGTATTTAATAACGGACTGAATAATTTCCAGATGTAGTGAAATTGCTCTTGATTAAATAGAATGTAATACGAAGGTATATAAGACCCTGAGACGAGCGGAAAAACCAGACGAGAACGAAAACCGGCGTATGGCAGAAGGGCGGAATGGTTGAATTAATGTACCATGTTAATGTTATTCTTATATTCCTGGTGTAGTTTAGTTCCTGTTTGAGTTATGCTCCAGTTTGAGTTATGCTCCAGTTTTATATTCTTGTTCCTGGTGTAAATAAATTTTGTATTTACAAAACTGGTAGTGTTACATTAACACTATGCAAAGATTTCGTTCCACTTGGCCTTGGAAACTTTTGTGCTTGTTAACCAACATAATATCCAACAAGAAGGTGTTAAGTCGTACTGAAATTGGATACCAGCTAATATGTTCCAGCTGACGTTTTGTGACACTTTTTTTGAAGACACACTAACGGTCAGTATACTCGTTTTGATTATCCCAGTTGGTGCCCAGCAGTGAAATGTTAAAGCCCATTTCATTTCATTATCAAAAATAACACAATCCAAAGCAAATGTGTTTGGCAGTAATTAACTCCATCTATTACGCATATATTCCGAATAAAAGGTTATATATTTAGGATCTTCTGTTGCTTGGTATCTTTTTAAATCGTCTAAGTTAACATTAAAGATACATTATGGAAGATTAGATAAAGAGCTGAAAGTTATCACTAGAATAGTTAAAAGCTAGATAATGTAAAGGGAATATGCTGAAAATTTCAGTCATATTGCTTTACTCTAAGTCTAATTAATAGTTTATATAACATTTCAGGCTTAAAGAAAGGCCTACAATGGGAAGATTTAGCTCTTGTATAATATAAGTTTAAATATTGAAAAACAGTTTGGGTAAAAGTATGCGGATAACCTGACAGGTGCAACTCCATGAAAAGCGAGGATGTCCAATAAATATCATCTTCGTCTCCTCTAATTTTATGTACTTTATGTCACCAGTATTTGTGATACTATTTTCTTCACCTATGTTTAAAGGTGGCACTTTACAATTTGGACCTGGAACAGAATAAATACATGTATTATTTAAAAGGGGTTGGATGTTTTGATGCAGGGTCACTAACTATACAACTGGTCCACCGGTGTACACATTCGCATTTACGTGTAGATAAAATAAAAACTGGTTGTAACACAGCCATCCTGCAAAGAATGTCTTCCGTGTTGAACATATAAGAGAATGTTAGACGCAAATAAAATGTCACCGCCCATTCCCTTCTCGATAAACATGCATTCATTGCATTATAGAGATCCCAGAACAAACAATGTGTCTCCGGAATACAAAAGAAAAAATCTCACACTGTACTGTCGGCATGCACAGTGGATAAATGGTACGTTGTATTATTTGGGTGCCAGATCCATGAACTGTCGGACGTAATGGGACGTATACGTATCCATTATCAAATGTCCAGAGATTGTGTCCCAGATCTTACCACTTTGAACCAATTTACCGCCTGTGAGCCAATGTTTCAGTCTTTGACTGCGAGTTCATTTTATTATAGAAGTGGGCGTTAAATAGTTATTTTCACATTACCGCGCTTTGGTTACCCCAGCCGTCCTATTTCGGGGAGTGGGACGGTACATTTCCCCCAAATCTTCTTGGGATTGAATGGTTCCTGTTCAAATTGAGTAACGTGTGGCAACCTCTTGCTGAAAAGCAGGGGTGAGGTTCATGGAAATATTGAGATACACAAACTGGAAGTCGCATATAGATAAACATACAACCTCTTAACTCTCTTACCCTTCCATTCTCACAAAAAAAAACTGGCAGAAAATGTATATTCAAACCTTTTGTTTGATTCTACACCAAATTCCAACAGCAATCGTTATGCAAAAGGGAGAAAAGGGAAAGCGAGAGAAGGGTTAAATATAACTTTGGCACTACATTTGTTTTGTGTCCATTTGATTTCCCAATAGTCTACTGGCGAACTAGGGTTAGATCTATTTCAGAAGGCCGTCTGCAGATTTCCTTAACGTCACGAGATGTAAACAGGGCTAGCGCTAATCCTAACCCTGTTTGCATCTCATGACCCTGGGGAAATCTGCAGGTGGCCTTCTGCAATAGATCTGACGGGCGTACTAGTTAAGACACAAAAAATGTGCCTTGATAATAGGCTAGCAGTTTAAGCTCATATTTTTTCCGATACCTCTACCTATGGTAGATCAAAGGTTATTTGGTATGGCTAGAAAAGTAATTTTATCGACATGAAATCGGTTCTTGAGCGATTTTCAAAACGGGCTATAACAGTTATTTCTCCTGGTTTCGATAGTAACTGTAAAATATCATAGATATCGACTCTATGCGTAAAGTCCAACTATTTAACGATTAAGAAGCATCAGACAAGCTATATTTTGTGTTTTTCTCCAGCACACTCTGTGATTTAAATAAACAAGAGCATCGCTAACGCTGCAATATACGTCCACATTCCTACTTTGATTGATATGGTACTTTTTAAAATGAAGAGAATGAAATATAAAATGGCTGTGATATGACAAGAGGCAAAGAAGGCTGGGCGTTGGGTTTGTTTTGCCAAATTTACAGAAAAATATTAACAAAAAATTGGCCCGACACCGCCCCAGGGGGTCGGGGCATACACCAAAATAAATAGTTGCTATTATTACAGTACATGTATATGGAATAAATATGCCAAGTTCCAAGATGATCCATTTAGAATTCCAGTCTGTAGACAAAAAACACAACCCTATACAGGACCATTGCGAATTGGATATAATTCTGTATATCATTTACAGACAAAAAATCAACAGAAAGTGTGTTTGGCACCGCCTAAAAGGGGGGAGGGCGGGGCGTGCACCAACATCAATAGTTACCGTCCTTAGGGTATAAGGAATAAGTATACCAAGTTCCAAGATAATCCATTCAGAATTGTGGGCTTCGGGCGCTTAAAGTAAAAAATGTGCGTGGCTCTGCCCATGGGGGTCGGGGCATGCACCAAAATCAATAAGAATGCATATGCCAAGTACCAAGCTGATCCATTCAGCTTGTGTGTTCGATAAACACAAAAATTGGGCGTGGCTTTGCCCCTGGGGGTGGGGACGCAATTGTCGTCCTTAGGCTATAAGGAATACATTCCCCAATTTCCAAGACGATCCACTAAGAATCGTACCCTGTAGGCAACACACAGAGACACAAAGAAAAAATGGGAGTGGCTCTGTCCCTGGGGGTCGGTCAATCACCAAAAAATGAAATGAAAATGAAATGAAATGGAGTTTAACGTCCTACCAATCACCCAAAAACAATACGGGTCATCCTTAGGGTTTAAGGAATAGCTATGCAACGTTTCAAAAGGATCTGTTAAGAATTGCGGCATTGTAGGCGAAACAAAAGACACACACACACACAAAGTGGGCTTGGCTCTGTCTCAGGGGGTCGGGATACCACCAAAAATAATAGAGGTCATCCTTAGGGTATAAGGAATAGGTATGAAAAGTTTTCAAGACGATCGATTAAGAATTGCGGCATGTAAGCGACACACAGACACAGAAAAAGAAAAGGGGCGCAGTTCTGTCCCTGGGGGTTGGGCATGCACCACAAACAATAGGGATGTTCCTTAGGGTAACAGGAATAAGTATGTAAGGTTTCAAGATGATACGTTAAGAAATGCGGCCTGTAGATGACAAACAAATACAAGAAATGGGCGTATGGTTAACACCAACAACCGAGTATACACACACTCACATCCGAGGACGTTATAAAGAGAGAGAGAGAGAAATGGGGTTTAACGTCCACTCGACACAAACTAGGTCATTTCGGGACTAACACATGGTTCAATTTTATTTCAATAATTCGCTTGCGCATAGGGGTCTTTAGCAGTGGGAGGAAATCGCAGGGCCCGGAGAAAACCCACGAGGATGGACAGGCGACCCTACTCCTTGCCACGTACAACCGGGGAATCGAAACCCCGCCAGTTGACTCAATGACAGACCGTATGATACAGCGCGCGCGTGCTAACCATTAGGTCATCCAACCCCCCGAGGACGTTATAAGTGTATATCAATAATATCAATTGGGTGGGTTCAACATTCTATATCCGAGAACAGCCCCCGTTTTAGTGATTCAGCCACTTAAACTTCTAATTATCAAAACCAATCTAAGTGAGGTCTTACAGTCTGTATGTGAGCAATCGATGACTCGCACACAATCGAATACATGGGAAAAATTATTTCTGGGAATCCGGATCTCCAACAAGTGATCCCAAAATTTACATTGCGACAGTAACATAATTCATCATCAGCATCATCATTAACATTATCATCGTCATCATCAGTTTGTAATGGACTGAAGGCGATTGGAGAAGTAGAACAAAGGGTGGGGTGGGGTGGTTGAGGGTACAAGGGGAAATTTTAAACTCTAGCTATCGCTATATTATTACAAGGAATTATTTGGTAAATAAAACCAGAGGGACGGTGAACATAAAAGGAGGGAAGACGAGAAAGCGCAGCGAGTGTAGGTGGGGGAGATATTAGGAAGAAGGAGAATGGAGTCGATGATGTAATATGTCAACATTGATACCTGGCGATGAAGGTAAATCAACTGTTCATGAAATTTTAACAAGCCTTGGAGAAATAATCAGCCTATGTTTACCTAGTACATGCGTTATCTGGTTGCGACTACACAATTTCTTGGAAGACGGAATTTTAAAAAAAAAAAAAATACGTCAATAGCTTAGACCCAATTTTGGAGAGAGTCTTGAATTAACTTATAATGTTCTTTGTAATAACTTTAACATAGAACAAAACACGCACCTGTTGTACCCTTGACGAATAGCGTTACGTTATTGCTAAACGTCAACGGACACATTGGCAGCCACTATTCCTCTAACAGACATCTTACACTTACACTCCAGACATATATGGAGCCACGTCATGAGGTGAAACCTAATATTCCTTGTCCAATTGATCATGGGTGGCGAAGAAATGGTGATATGGTATAAGGAGTACCTGTTTTATTTGAGAAGAAAACTGCCAGAAGGGCGCGTTTTTCCCTGTGATTCATGCTCACGCAAGACTGTTGGGTCCGTGTTTCAAGATAGGTCGGGACCAGAGCCGCCAAACCTCTAAACTGTTGCCCAATTCCCACCGCTCCGTCGTCGAAGATCTAGCTACCGCACTTGTACTGTTAAGCCCACGAAGGGCTTAATTGTAGATGGATGTGGCAGAAATATTATAAATAACAATAATCAATAGTTCTTTTGATGAAAAATTTTGTCAATTTTGCTTACTGTGGCCCGATGTAATTTGCGTTGGGCTTTGCTACGTGGAACTATATAACACCATCTCTTATCTCGAAACACGGAGGGTTGAGAGATGAGGCTCGTTATCTATAGGCTAATTATCGTTAAAGAAACCCTGGCCATTGGTAAAATTGATATATTAGGCCATGTTGTAAATTTGCCCAAGAACCAGTTTTGAGTTCTGCAGCTATCAAAAAATATCCAAAGTGTTTGTTCTACCTCGGGTAGGGGTATCTTGTCATTTAAGCCCCTTTTGGGGCCTTGGCTGCTAGCCTATAAAGGATTAAAGCAGTGTAGACTGTATTTATCAAACGACACACAGCCAGAAACAGATGGAGAATTAATTGTTACATACCATTTAAACAAACTGGACAACATTTCCCCACTTCAAAAGCATAATCAAAATACCGAGGGCGGTCACACTGGATGAAAAAACAGCTTAAATTTCCCCAACCTTGTTTACATTTACACTGGATACATGCGTCATCTTGAAACAAGGGAAATAACTCGCCGTCTCTATACCATTTACCATGTTGATAACATCCAAATTCTATACAACAACAGCCGTCTGTTGACCACTAAATACAAACATTGGACAACATAATGTCAGTTCATTAAAGATCGCTACAAATCAGACAGAATGCATGGGTAATTGTTGTCACTGGTCAATCAAGTTCGCTTTTCGACTAACCAAACTAGGCGATACACCAACCACTATACCGGTACTTTACTCGGAAATGAAATGGGATTTAACGTCCTACTGTTCTGCTCCGACAGGGCTACAGTGTGCTATATGTGATACATTTTTCCAGAACAGCGGCACTACGGCCTACTCTTATTACCAATTCCAACTGCCAAGGGATCTTTTGACTTGCACCCCAATGTGTAGGCCTACACGGGATCTCGGTTTTGTGTTCCCTCCGAACTACTATACAGGCTCTCCGTCCTACACCACTATCAATGGGAAACCACACCGGAAAATCCCGATTAACTTTCTCGGCCACCGCCGGGATCGACCCCGCGCTATACGTAAGTTAAATTAGGAATCCGACTCAAAGAAACATAACTAATGAAAAGTTCCACTTTATATATATATAGTATGTGCAGCAGTGGTTAATAAATTAATAATGGTCGTAACCATTGCTTCGAGAATATTTTCACTCATGGTCCGAAATCAAACATTCGACTTTTTTAACTGACTTACTGATCCAAACAAGCAGCAGCTACAACAAATCACGGCATTTCATTTTCGGTAGGTTTCTTTTGCAAACGTCTGATATAAAGAAGCTTAATAGTGTGTTTTGGGGGACATAGAACGCAATTAAAGCTGGGAAAATCCACGCGGACTGTCATGGTGTCTTATATTTACCTTTAGACAAACATCCTCTTGATAAGGTTGATATGGGATGACACATTGTGGTTCTGAACACTCGGACAATCCTGTATCACCCACACAAATACACCGACGGCATCTCTCTGTCCATTTAGTTCCCGGTTGCACGAGGATGTTTGGCCATCTTGAACACTGTGAGTGTGTGGCTCTATATTTAAACAAACACACAAAAATTCAAATCATATTATTAAAACTAGGTGATGTCTCGCATGGAATTTTAGTGAATGCTCTTAGAAACCTTAACATAAACAGTCCTCTCTATCTGATACGCCTACTTTTGCGATGAAAAAATAAAATCTCACACAGTCACCAAATTTCACATTGTGTATGTGCCTGGACAACCATTTACTTGCCGAAGTTTTGCTTGCGGGAGAAACGTTAGATTACTTGGGTTTCAGATCCGGAAGCTGTCTGACTTTATTGGGACATTCGATCGTATAATAGGTATCAGTTATCGGATGATAGTTGTGCCATGGGAGCTTTTATGTATGACGCAGTACACTGGAAAATGATTGTGTCAATCTTCATAATTATCAAGACACACAAATAACTGAAAAATGAAATACCGCGAAATGTGTTACGCAACCTCGTTAAATAAATTTAGCGATCGTTTTCGAACGGGTGGGTGTGTTATATTGAATTCGATAACTATTGTACAATGAACTTACACATGTGCACATGGACGGATAGATTGTATTAATTTTACTGTTTAAACATTTTTATTTTATTTCTATGTAACAATAAACTACAGCGTATGTCAAAATATTCCAAATAAATATTAAAATGGCTGAACATTTCCCACCATACATTTTCATTAATTTGTTATTCTTACCTTGCAAAGATGAAATTCAGAGTTAACAAAATGATGATAATTAAATGTGCCGTATCCATTTCCTTTACTTTATACTAAAAATTCGATTAATATGGATATTTATGTGAATGTGTCTATTAGTGACAGCCAAATTTTTAAAGGGCCTTAATCAATCAATTAAATTACCCCAGGCCAGTGTACTGCAGTGGCTAGAGGTATACAAGGATATAAAGAAAAGAAATAATTTAAATTAAGGCCAAATATTCCAGAATAAAAGGCAAATATACACTTTCAGACCATACACAATAAAAAAAATAGTCTTAACAAAAATTATGATGGTCTAAAAAACTCTATCCATCCTGGTTGAATTAGCGTCTTTAAATCTCTTACATCGAAGTCAAGTCGGTATCTCTATGTTTGTTTTGTTAATCGTTCAAATTACTGCCTGAAGAACATTTTACAGTTTAAAAACGAGAGAAATGGATATTGGCCCTTGGGGGGGGGGGGGGGCTAGTAGTCTAGAGTGCCGTGCTTCGATCTCTAGCTGGCCGGTCACCTATGGCTTGCGATTGTGGTTTCGATCCCAGGTGTGAGCGTATGTGGCTTGGAGATAGGGAAGCCTTCTCAACCTCGTGGGTTTACGCTAAGATATTAAAAATGAAAAACAAGACTTGTTTGCGATATCACCTTCGGTGGAAGCGGACGTTAAATACTAAGCACAACAACAACATATTGGCCCTTCGCCACACAACGCCAACAACAATTGGGCTTTAATAAATGCGATCGAAGATCTTAACAACACAGTTTACGGTTGTTCGATAATTGGTTTTTTTTATCCAGGGCAGCGTATGGTATAAAGGATTCTCCTTTTAGAGTGTTTTTTCGAATAAAATGTTTTTACGAGGGTGGGGATTTTAAAAGAACAAAAATCCATTATACTTGCGTTTACTGACAGTCTTCGATGAAGTTTCTTTCAGCTTTACAAAAATTACTTGGTGCAAATCCCCCACCACCCCATCCCAACAAAAAAGGCAGGTTCGATTGTTTTGACATAGCAATATTCATTTTATTTCGACATATTTACATTCGACACTGTACAACACTCTACTTTATAAAATCACAATCACATTGGGCTTGTGTGTCGTCCGGATGGGACAAAAAATGAAAAACCCGAGGCTAACCCATGCATTCGTGAAAAAAAAACGTCACAGGTGGAAGTCGGTGAAGAGGATATATAGGCGGAAACACCACGTTTCTCTCATTGCACACTAGTCCGCTTGTTGCAGAAATGGTGTGACTTTAAACTATGCTGCATCTCAATAGCACAATCACTAGTTATATTGCTACATTAAAAAAAACACTCACATCATTATGGTTTATCTAGTCAATTTTCGGACATGGGGATGTGTGCGTCCTCCAAATATTGGTGATGTCATAACCCCTTTAACTTAATGTATAAAATTAATCAAGCTTTAAATGGTGTACAAGGCACCACCCTTGCCGTTTATATTTTTTAATTTAGTTATTCTTGTTAACACATTTTTAATTACGCCCATTCATCGGCCAGGGGGCTTTTTAATTCTAAAAGCACCCCGTTGACATTTAATTATGATACTAATAAAACTACATGTACACATGTATATGTTTTCAGTACATCTCGGCTTTATATTTGATCAGTGTAAATTTGGTTAAAATATATTACCTAGAGTGTCGCTATCCAAACTCCAACAAAAACAAAAATCGAATCTACCATAGACGCAATAATTATAATATCTGTTATACCAAAAGTATTATATCTTTCGAAATACTTTGAGGGGATGTCCGATTGACAACCTGTAAATATTAAATGACCGCCATTATCTGTGTAAGGAATAACTGAAAGTCGATGGGCGAACTCTGTCATGCCCGGGCAACGGGTGAGTAATGCACGCACTATGCTTTCAAAGGTCTATTCAGTGATTGGCGAATTGGTTCATCGGCATTTAGTAATTGAACTGGTAAATACTATATACACATGGCACTATTTAATTCCAGTGGAATATAATTTTTAGTACTATTTATTATTACTGCGCGAAGTTTCGACTAGGCTTGTCCCGTCTTTATCAAGCAATGGGAAAGGCTATACTACGAAAGCCCGGTCGAAACGTCGCTCAGTAATTGTATTCCTTAGAGTCGTTTCCTGTGCGTATTTGTGATTGGCGGTCTGTTATATTAAACATTATTATATTTACTGAGGATTTATTATGCACTTTGAATCTATAATTATATTTTTCCATGGCCAATATTAGGCTGCATGGATCGTTTGTTATTGGCATGAACTGCATCCGTTCTCCCACCCGATCACAACCGGTTTGAATAGCCAATAGTTTCAATCTATACAGGATTTTGATCGTGACTATCAAAGTGATAAACCCATCAGCAAATCAGCTTAAATCTGTAATTCCCTTGATAAAACGAATTACTTTTGTAAAACTTTGAAGCTATGTAAGGTGATCAAAGAGAGATAACTCTTTAATGATTAAATGAATTAAATGGAATTTAATGATTAAATGAATTACATGGAATTTAAAATACTACGTTTCAGCACCACCCGGGCTAATGGAGACGGGGCTACTTAATGATTTACGAAAATTTTCATAATTCTTAATAAGATGCCAAGTTCAAAGACGTGACATTTCTAATTTCGTTAAGGCTTAACAACGACCAAGAATTCTACTTTACTACTCCTAAACAAATTACAGGCCGGCTGGTGGAAATTAGCAACTCCCAAGATGTTTGACTGTCCTCCCATATTTCTAAAGCAATGATAACACAATCATTATCAACTCTTTACTAATTCAGGCACTTGTGATGGATATCAGAGTTGGTAAAAGGTAGAGCCAGGTTTCTAATTTGACTTTCAAGTAAGCACAAACCATGAAATGGGACCGGAATTATCTCTACTGTGTATATGGATGTGACTTGATACGGCTTATGCTGTTTCCATTGAACTGAACTTCTCCTTGTTTCGTTTGTATTTGAACTTTTCAGACTGGTTATACTCATATAGCTAGGTTCTATACTATTGTGAAACTCCCTTAAGGATTTACCGTGGTTTTAGATTTGGCCAGGTTACCCGGGCTGCATTTTACCAGGGTTCAAATCTTAGCTGGGTTGCCATTTATTAAGGTTGCTAAGACTACCCGGGTTTGGGAGGTTGGTTTTACCAGGGTTGCTAGTGATATTAGCAGCTACAAAGACTATGCACGAAAAGGTTTATTGATGCAAAAGACTAGGTAGACAAAAGAGACAAAATTATATATGAGTAGTCTAAACCTATTTATTGTATATGACCAAGGCCATGAATAAGTGGTGGAACTAATAAAATCAACACCGAGAGCTGAGCTTCATAATTTGGGTCTTTGAAGCGCTGATCAAACTGGTAGTTTCTGTTACTCCAAATATCACTTCTACTGGACTTTACAGTCTCCTAGACCAAAGCTTCCAATTGTGTGTGTGTGTGTTGAGGGGGGGGGGGGAATGAGGTGTAGTCCCAATGGTTGAATTCTGGGTTGGGGGTGCCAATCAGTGTGGGCCATCCCTAGCTGGTGTCTGGTTGTGGAGAAGTGGTTTCGTTTCTACTCACAATTATTTTATTACAAATATTTACAATTTTTTATTTAAATAACTTAAATCCTTTAAAATATTTTTGAATATTTTCTTTTTTATCAGGTTTTGCTGCTATACAAGTTGGAATATTTTCAGGTTGTTCTATCCACAGTTTATGATCTATATTATTTTCTGTTAATATATCGGATAATTTCTTCAAACTATCTTCATCTTTTGCCTGAAAGAAAAAAATAAATGATAATTTGAGAAGAATTGAGTCAAATTAAACAGAGGCTGATCAAATGATTTTGCCCAACACTTATTGGTGCTGCTGGCATGTTGTGGGTTGTCTTTTTTGCACGAGTTAAATTTACTATAATTATGGCAGTTTTTTTTTGTATCATAAATTTCATTTCACAAATGCCATTTGATTAAATAAAAACTTGATGGCTCATTTATTAGTCATGAACATCAAGCAATACTCATCAACATCTCACAAAAATAAGTCAAGCTCAAAGGCAGATTAAGGAACAGGCTGTCAGAGGTCTATGGGAGGAGGGGGTATACTTTGCCTTCCCAGGAATGTTTTGAAAGATGATACATATATGTATCTTAGAGCCCTTTCCTGTTAGTTTTAATACCAACTGGAAACAATAATTTCGTTTCCCTAATTTGGTTTCCCTAATTTGGTTTCCCAAATCTAAAGACCACTATGGAATACCCCTTTCGTCTCGTCTAACTCTATTAAGTCTCTTATGTGGTTAAATTCTGTGCTGAATAAAAAAAAAAAGAAAAAAAAAAGAGTTTGCAATGTGTAAAGGCAAAGGTAAATGAATGGCTTCCCTTCATTCAAGTAGTTTCTTAAAGCTAAAATATAACTTCCATTTTTAGCAAATCGTTTAAAAAATTACCTCTAAGATTACTTTATGCATTCTATCTAAATCAGCTAAATATTCTTGTGTGTTGGAATCTTGATAAAAGTTGTGCATCACGGCTGTACATGCATGACAGGCCTGTGCAATTATGGCCCCTGTTGGCCATTTTAATGCACTAATCAGGTCACTTCTAACTACAACATACTGCACAATCCCTGACATAGTCGCTACATAAAATAAGAAATGTATTGATCAATAAAGCTGTCCATAAATTATCATAAAACTAATGATTCATGTAATGTTTACAATCTGTTGCGCTTCTTGGAGGCTGACATGTTTCTGTCCCGCAGAAAATGACGCGCTTGTTTATTGATTGGTGGATAAATCAGAAGCACGATAATCTATGACGTTCTGCGTATGGCGAGATAACGGATTAGGAAATTTATCTAAAATCGAAGTATTCACAGCTGGAGGATTGTTTTGAAATGTATATCAATTCAAGCCAGAATATGTAGCGTATTGACAGTTATATTTTGTAGTCACTTCATACACCTATAGCTTGTTTTCATGGAGAAACATTCGCGTAATGCTTGTGAATTGACCCTTGTTGAGTGGTGAGTATTATGTTAGTGTTGTGATTTTGTTAATTTGCTTTCAGCTTTGAATTGGAGTGACAGCCAGGAACACACTCTCTAATGATTAGCTTATCAGGGTCAATGCCAAGTATGATAAAGTAATTTATAACTGAATAAGAATAGATTCATTATCACGTGAATGAATATGCAGATTATTAATAATATTTAGAATATTATATGATTGTTTATTTCCTCTTAAAAAACCCTGTATGTGACAAGGATCTCGCCTGTCCAACTTAGTGGGTTTTCTCTGGGCCCTCTGGTTTCCCCCCACTGCTAAAGACCCCAACGCGCAAGCTAATCATTGAAATAAAATTGAACCGTATGTTAGTCCCAAAATGACCTAGTTTGTGTGGAGCGGACATCAAACCCCATCTCTCTCTCTCTCGCAGATGCAAGGAAATCGACTTCAAACTTTCTAACTTTTCTGGAGGGAGAACCCCATACCCATTTCCAGAGGCTCCATGGCCAGAGAGGCTCCATGACCAGTCACGCAGGAACAGTCCCTCCGCCCCCTGCTTATTTTCTGCACACGCCCATATGCCAAGCACTTAAAAGTGTTCATTATTGCTGTATATTAAAGGGTGTACAATGTATATGGCTCGAGATCTATTCTTTGAAATCTTAAAATAAATGAACATTGGTCTAAAAAAACATGATTATTAATGTAATATAAATCCATATACAGTGTAAAGGGATTTATTTTCAATTTTTTAATTTTTTTATTGTAATTTCTAATAAATTATGTTTGGTGAAGTATGCATGAACAGTCCAAATTGAACTTCAGTTGTTTATACCATCTTAGTCCATTCTACATGTTTTATTTTTATTATTATTTTTTGAATCAGCCAGTACTGATTACGTCTGCATTGTCTTGTACATGTAGGATAAGTTTTTTTTGGTCATACTAATGGCAACCGAAATCATAGAATACACGACTCATGTATTGATTTTAAAATGTTCATTATTATATCTTAAGGGCGTTGAATACTCTAAAATGCACATTTTAAAGCTAGCACTGTAAGTTTTGTTCATAATCTGATATACCATTTTTTATTTGGGGTGATAAACTAAGCTTACGTATTAATCAAAAAAATACCAATTTTTTTTACCAATTATGTTCCAAACTTGGCCCAAAATTAAGCATGATAATAATAAATAAAGGATGCTGATGACAACAAAAGTAAAATTTTCTCAAATTAGAAATCTATGAGTGGCGAGTAGCCGCCCCAGATTTCTCTCATGAAGCAACTAATTTCGTTCATTTCAAACTCATCAGGTTTAAATGAAATTGTGCGGATGTTCCTTTTATATAGTTGTCAGGGACCGGAGCACAAAAAGGGTCTCCGGTGGACCTGCGTAGTGCTGTATCACCGGAGCAACTTTTGCAATGACAAGTATACGATTTCGTAAGATTTAGTCCCGAAGGGTCCCCACATTCTTTATATTTATATCAAATTTTCTCAGTTATGCCTGCATGGATTTTCATCAAATTTGTCATTAGAACAATGCTAAATGCACCTCCAAGAAACTTATGGTACATTGTTTGGCTATAGACCATGCTTGTCTGGTATCCATGGAAACACCAAAGAATGATGAGTTTTCTTGGAAATTCTATAAATTCCAGCTAAAAAGAGATATTGATAATCCTGGCAACCATACATCGGAAGTAGCTCTAGGTTATAAGCGACATTTCTACACCAAAAACGTTACAAAATATCAACTCAAAGTACCGGTATTTTAAAATCTTTGTTCATTATTTACCTTCAAACAAGATTTTGAGTAAATGCTTTGAATATGTCCACAACAAGTTTTAAACTACAACAATTCAGATGTAAAAAGTACATATTCACTTCAATGCACTACTCCACCGCACTCAAAATCATTTTATAGTATTCAAAAATGGTAGTCTATAAACGCGTTGTACAGTGAATTCCTTCTGGTCACGTGACTTAATTGGGATACTTCGTCCAGTGTGAAACTTTCTGGAGGCAGCCATGATAGTTTACTGATGTATGCAACGTCATGATTTATTCAACAATTCGTCGGTAGGCAGACGAAGTGACTTATCGTCAATAGGTACGGTATGAAGATAAGTCACTTCGTCTGCCTACCGACGAATTGATCTAGTTGGGGAGAACTTCTTGTTTGCTACAAATAGTTTTTTCTTTCCGCTTGTATATCCATTATTACACAACAAACGGTCAGACAGTGTTATGTGTCCTCTAGGTTATTTTATGCATGGAACAAGTCTACAAAGTCTTAATAAGTTTGGTGCTGAAAAGTTACATGTAATGCGTAATCCTTAAATATTGGATATTAGGATCCCATATTTTCAAGGCAAGATAACACCAATATTGATTGAAATGGACTAATATTGAATTTTAATTCATGTTTTTGATTTCAAATTTTTTGGAAAAATGGAGTTACAGGTTTAGCTCCTTTTTTATGATAATTATAAAACAGGAATACATGTGATTAATAAGAGGGTAGTTGCGGACCAAAACATCCATGTTTCAGAATGTCAGTCACGTTCATTTTCAAATATGGTGATTATAGGCTACACTTCATAACAAAATTGGAATGTCTGGATTCATGATCCATGTAACTGATGCACTTGTCACTTACCTGATTTCAGTACATGTACTTTTGCGGTTTGAATTTTGGTCCAGTTTAAGTTTTAATGTACAGTTTCCAGCAGGATCTACAAAGTTTCACTTTTATAAATACAGCATTTGAAAACTCATTTTCTGAATTAATTGGCAAACAAATGGCATAGGAGCTGTGGTGGCTTTTTACTGATGTTGAGAAAGCAAGTCCATAACTTTCTATCAAAGACCATATTATGCAGTCCTACTCACGAGTTGGACAAGTTATCCAAATTGAATTTCTGAATTACCTCTACTAACTGGTTTCATGGTAATCAGATTGCTGTCAAGGCACCATTGCTGTATTTCTGTAACTATTAAGGAAATAAAAACTTTCTTTCATAGATCAAACATTTGAAATTGTTTTGAACTAAAGTGTGGGAAATGGTTAAACGGTTGCTTTCAGCAGTATGATTGCTGATGGCAGTTAACAATCAACATGTCAGTATCCGGCTGTAGTTTGCCAAAACCTGGGTTGTGAGGCTTGCCTTCTATAGTTATATACAGTATAAACCAGGGAATTGAAAACCTATATTGACCTACAGTGTGCATGACTTTCCCATGTGGCTGCAGACATGCAATCGGTTTACAGGATCATTAATTAAGCTTTACAATGTTCAAAAAGGTTGCCTCTCAATGGATATAGTTGAATTACTGTTCGTAAAATTAGAAAATGCTAATCTTGAAAATTAACCTCTGGTGAGGATTTTATTACAGTACAATGTACATAAATAACTGAAGCATAATCAATCGTAATCGATAGTGAGATGTGAAATCCTGAGTCAGGTTAATGGTTTTGTTTAATTCAGTGTTCTTGTGCCAGCTCATGTTTTCACCATTTACATCTTGCTCAACTAGAACTAGCTTAAAGGAGATTGTCCACCTACAGTACATTTTACATGGAAATTCTACTTTTGTGAAGATGGGCACAATGTGCTACATGTATGAGGGGTATGTTGACAGGACAGTGGCGCTACTACCTACTCTTATTTCCAATTCCAGTGTTAAAGAGATCTTTTACATGCACACCAATGTACACAGGATCTCAGGTTTTCTACATCACTGACAATGGGAAGCTACATGTATGGCAGAAAATCCTGAGCAAATCAGAGACCTTCTGGTTTGTAAATGGTCACAAACATTCCTGTGGTTAAGATATGATATTCCCCCACCAAAGATGTGTTGTCAGGTGTGTTTTTAATCCATTTTTCTTTTATTTAACAATTGATAGATTCTATGTTACTTTTGCTTGACACAATGGAGTTTTACGCTCGCTGCCATTTTTAAATATGTCCATCAGATTTCCGATGAGTATATACAGGTGATGTCAATAAGTAAAAAAATAGTGTACTTGTGATGAATGAATGTATCTTGTTATTGTTATATTTTATGAATGTATATAAATAAATAAATGATGATAAATGATAACACATGTTCCTTACTTTATTACAGGGGTGGGTTGGTATAAATGCAATGTGACATTGCATTTTGTGTGACTGTCCTTGACCCCATTAAACCCGATTGATATTTCAATAGCATGTTGTTTTGTGGCTATTTATTATGTGCTAAAAATAACACCACATTCACCGTGCGAAAAATGACCGGCTGGGAAAATTTGGAAGTGGAAGCCCTGGCTCAAACTCTACTGAGAGATCAAAAAACAAATCACCACTCCAAATCAATTACCTAAATCCTAAGAGGTTTCATTCATAGAATTAATAAGAATAAATATAAATTGTCCAGACGTTATTATGAACAATATTTCTGGTAATTATGTACACGAATTATAGTTTCTGCATTCATGTAAATCATTCACATATAAAACCACTGGACCATGGAAAAAGTTCATCCATTTTATAGATCTGTGCTTAAATTTTATTTTGGTAGGAGTTTTGTCTATGGTGTAGCTCCTGTTAATTGTCTGCAGTGTTTTTTTAAATTAAAACTAGATACATGTACAGATAAATGTAATACCATTGATCCTAAGCTAACCATCTAGTTGAATGTCCGTAAATAGTTCTATTAATTTCATCTCTGCCTCATTTATGAGTTGAAAAATTTTCTTTTTCAAATAGTCACATCATATGATCAGATACCTTTTGATAAAATTTAAATTGTAAATAAATCGGGGCACAATCTTACTGTCAATTTAACAGTTGCCTATCTTTAATCAGTGTATTTTCTTTAACTTCTCTATTTGTTATTCTGTAAATTCATCTTGAATGTAATCAAACACCAAAACGTCTGTTGATCTATTAAAAGATGTTTGATGGATTCGGGTTTTATATTTTCTATCCTTTTATTCTATTTGGGGGGGGGGGGCGAATGGTT